AAGGAGAAGGAGAAGAAGAAGAAAGAAGAAAGGAGAAAGAGAAGGGGAAGGAGAAGAAGAAGGGAAGAAGAAGGGGAAGGAAGAAGAAGAAGGAAAGGAAGGAGAAGAAAGAAGGGGAAGGATAAGGATAAGAAGAAGAAAAGGATAAGATGAAGAAAAGAGAGAAGAAGAAGAAGGAGGAGAAGAAGAGGAAGAAGGAGAAGAAGGACAATTAGAAGAAAGAAAAGAAAAACGAGGTGGAGGAGGAGGAGGAGGAGGAGAAGAAGAAGAAGAAGAAGAAGAAGAAGAAGAAGAAGAAGGAGAAGAAGGACAATTAGAAGAAAAGAAAAACGAGGAGGAAGAGAAGAAGAAGAAGGAGGAGGAGAAGCCGAAGGAGAAGAAAAGGAAGAGGAAGGAGAAGGGCAGCGGCGCGCGTGGCTTCCCCGGCCGCCGTTCCCTTCCGCTCGGTCGTCGCCGATCCCCGCCGCTCGTTAAGCGTCTGTGACAGAGACAAGAGGCTGTGAGGTCGCCGCTGTGAGGTCGACAAGGCTGTGAGGTCGCCAGACTCGTGACAAGAGGCTGTGAGGTCGGAGAACGTGACAAGAGGCTGTGAGGCCGAGACTCACGTGACAAGAGCTGTGAGGTCGCAAGAGTCACGTGACAAGAGGCTGTGAGGTCGCCCGAGACTCACGTGACAAGAGGCTGTGAGGTCGCCGAGCACGTGAGGCTGTGAGGTCGCCGAGACTCACGTGACAAGAGGCTGTGAGGTCGCCAAGAGTCAGTGACCTGTGAGGTCGCCGAGACTCACGTGACAAGAGGCTGTGAGGTCGCCAAGATGACAGAGCTGTGAGGTCGCCGAGGTGACAAGGCTGTGAGGTCGCCGTCACGTGACAAGAGGCTGTGAGGTCGCCGAGACTCACGTGACAAGAGGTGTGAGGTGACTTCACAAGAGGCTGTGAGGTGTCACGTGGAAAGCAGGCTGTGAGGTCGCCCTGTGAGGTCGCCAAGAGTCACGTGACACGTGACAGAGCCTGTGAGGTCGCCGCCAAAGAGGTCACGTGACAAGAGGCTGTGAGGTCGCGAGACTCACGTGACAAGAGGCTGTGAGGTCGCCAAGAGTCACGTGACAAGAGGCTGTGAGGTGAAGGCGTGAGTCACGTGACAAGTGAGGCGTGATGTGCCGAGAAAAAAGAGTCACGTGACAAGAGGCTGTGAGGTCGCCAAGAGTCACGTGACAAGAGGCTGTGAGGGTCGCCCGAGACTCACGTGACAAGAGGCTGTGAGGTCGCCAAGAGTCACGTGACAAGAGGCTGTGAGGTCGCCAAGAGTCACGTGACAAGAGGCTGTGAGGTCGCCGAGACTCACGTGACAAGAGGCTGTGAGGTCGCCAAGAGTCACGTGACAAGAGGCTGTGAGGTCGAGACTCACGTGACAAGAGGCTGTGAGGTGCCGAGACTCACGTGAAAGAGGCTGTGAGGTCGCCGAGGTGACAAGAGGCTGTGAGGTCGCCGAGAAGTCACGTGACAAGAGGCTGTGAGGTCGCCGAGTCACGTGACAAGAGGCTGTGAGGTCGCCGAGACTCACGTGACAAGAGGCTGTGAGGTCGCCGAGACTCACGTGACAAGAGGCTGTGAGGTCGCCGAGACTCACGTGACAAGAGGCTGTTGAGGTCGCCGAGACTCACGTGACAAGAGGCGTGAGTAGAGGCGTAGACTCACGTGACAAGAGGCTGTGAGGTCGCAAGAGTCACGTGACAAGAGGCTGTGAGGTTCGTGACAAGAGGCTGTGAGAGACGTGACAGAGGCTGTGAGAGTCACTGTGAGAGTCGCCGAGACTCACGTGACCTGAACAGAGGCTGTGAGGTCGCGAGACGTCGCCGAGACGTGACAAGAGGCTGTGAGGTCGCCAAGTCACGTGACTGTGAGGTCGCCGAGACTCAAGTGTTTTAGATTCTATAAACCTTTAAATCGTAGGTAACAAGCCACTGTGTGTGATTTCTTTTCTTCTTTTTCTTCCTCTTCCTCTTCTTCATCTTCCTATTCTTATTCTGTTCCTTCCGTCATGCAGTGAGACGACCAAAAAAAAATGACAAAGCCCCACTTGTAGTTAGATGCAAAATATCATAATAATAATAACAAAAATAAGATCATGAAAAAAATAAAATAAAGCATAAAACTTTCACATCTTCTAAGCTATGGCCTCGTGAATGGCCAGCGAGGGAGGTTTGGGGGAAAACCCTCCTCAAGTTACGAGTGTTCTGTTTGACCCCGGAGTCTGCTGAGGCTCAACTGCAGGAGGGTTTTGCCCAAAGTGAACGCGGGTTTTCCACTGCAGTAACTTACGGCGGAGGAGGTTTCTGTTGTAGGCCTGTTGAACGGTGGATGATAAGACAAAGCAATTTCTTTTTTATTTCAGATCTAGTATTTCCGTTTACGTTCCTGGCCACTACAGGAAGAAGCCGCATCCATTTTATTCCTTTGTTTACTATATTACTCTACTTATTTCACTTTCATTTCCATTC